AAAACCATTTTCCAAGCAGATATGGGAACTCTTTCTTCTGATTCTCCGTGATTTCATGCGACATCTGTTGGTTATCCTCTTTTATTCTCGACAGTGTGGTTTTCTCTTTATTTCAATCACGTACCAAAAAGAAAAAAAAAAAAAAAACGAGAAAAAAAGGGATGTGATAAGTTGTTTCTTCAAACATACTTCAGAATTAAAAAATAATGAATTAATTAGAATTATTATAATTGCAATAAACAAATAAAAAAAAAAAAAGAAAGAAAGAAAAATAATAATTATAATAATAATAATAAAGAATAAATGCATTCGGAGTCGTCCAGCTTCAGCTCTCTCCAATATTTTGGGAGGAAAACACAAATACACGTACCGATGTATATAGATATAACTTATTTGCCATCTGTGAAGTTACCAAGATCATTTGCCTCAATTTACTTATACCGCACTACCAAATTCACCCTCTATGTGTCGCAACAACACCGTCACCAACTGTTTTCTGTCTTCTGACGCATTCAAATCATCATGCAGGCCCTTTAGTCCATTACCACCTTCCATAAATGTATTCAAGGGAAAATCCTTGCCAAGTCGGTGATCAGTCACTCGATTCTGGGGAAAGTTGTATGTACGCATCTTATCGGATCTTTCGCCACTACTCCATTGATTTCTCCAGGCTTCGTGAAAGGAAGAGTTTTGATCCTTGACACGTTGTGCTAACAATTGTTGGGCAACTAATTGTAAAGCAGTTTCTTTGTTTCCAAGCGCAGACCGTGACTGATGACACTTCACAGAAATACCAGAGGGTATATGTGTGAGACATACTGCGTTGGAACTACTCTGCATACCCTGGCCACCAGGACCAGAACCTCTCACAAACTCAATTTTGCAGTCATTCTCGTGAACATTCACAGACACAGGATCAAGTACGGGCATAAGTGTCACAACAGCCGTAGAAGTTTGCATCTTTCCATCTTGGTCGGTAAGAGGAACCCGCTGCACCTTATGAACCCCAATTTCATGGCGAAGATTGCGGTACACACTATCACCTATAGCCTTAAATTTTACCCCGGTACTGGCCAGTGCCGGAGCGCTCAACGCAGAGGCATCACCACCACCACCACCAGCTGCTCCTCCTCCTCCTGCTCCATTCTCAGCCTCCTCAATACGCCAATTTCTTACGCCAGTAGAATATTCCCTGTACATCTCCGCCAGCTCTGCGGCAAATAAAGAAGCCTCTTCACCCACCGCTTTCC